TTTTGAATTAAATGTTGATGAACACGATATTGGTAATGATAGAATTTTGAGTTGTCCTATATTTTATGTTGTTTTATTATTGTGTTGTTTGAATTTCAATGAAATTTTACATAGTTTATTACTTGACATTTTATATCTTGAGTATTATTTGAGTTTCTTATATATGACAATTTATTTCTTATGCTCACTTTTAATATATTATTTGGGTATTATATAAAAAAATCCTATCTTTAGATGTAAAGTGCTAAGGATTCTCGAGAGAGAAAGCTAGAGAGAGAACATCTGGGAATTCAAAAGTTTTCTGTTAGTTTTATTTGAATTCGGCGCTCCTAAATTTTCGCGGCTTGTTCGGCCGTCGTTCTTCGGCCGGCACTCTGGTGGATTCAGGCGCCGGTGGAGGCTATGGCAGCTACGGGTGATGTTGATGGATAGAAAGCGCCTTTCAACAACTGAAGCTTGGGCGAATTATCGGAAGGGTCTGTCAGTTCCGGTGCGACATGCTTCCGACGTCTTCAATGGAGGTTCTAGAGCTCTAGATATGTTCAACAGTCCTATCAAAGGGTTTAAGGAGAAACCTTTGGTGATCAATGCAGGCTGTTTATTAAAGAAGAAGATCCCCATTTCTGTTCATGGAAAAGGTAAAGAGATCATTAAGGAGGATGATTTTGCCAGCCCAAAAGGTTTTAAGATTAATCCTGAAGGAAACAAGGTGATTGAAAATCGTAATCTGAATGCTTCATCTTCAGCTGGGTTGAGAATTTATTCCAACAAATGTTTTAATTCTGCTTTGCTGCCTGCTTCTCCGGTCTGGAATGTTTATTTTGGGTCACTATTAACGGAAGGCAATAACTTGAATGAAGACAAGGTGGATGAGGTTTTGTTGCAAAAAGAAAATGTTAATGATTTGAGCTATGCGGCCGAGGAGACCAATCTGAATATCCAAAAGGTAGCTCAATCTGTGGAGAAGGGGAACAATGTAGTAACTCAATCAGCTTGGACAAAGAAGCAGAATATTAATGTTGACAATTTGGAATTGTGTTCTTTTTTATTTGATGATTGGAAAGTGGTTAAGCTACATGCTGAGAAGGAGATTGAGAATGTAAGAAGCTTAGAGGAAGCCATTGTTGTGAAGGTATTTGGAGACAACATACCATTTCAATCAATGTGTGTTGAATTGAGAAGGCAATGGAGCTGCTTTGGAAATTTTCACATTACAGGCTTGGATCTTGGTTGGGTGCTTTGTTCGTTTGAAGATGCAAATGTCTTGGAGAATATCTTAACTGGTGGACCTTGGTTTGTTAGAGGTTAAGTTGTGGGCTTAGACAAATGGTCGTCATCATTCAACCCAGCTTCTTTAAAAGGAATTTCAACTCCTTTATGGATAAGATTGCCCAACATACCTCTTCAATGCTGGGATGAACTTAATATATGCAGAATTGCCTCTCAAGTTGGTAAACCTTACCTCCTTGATGGGAACATGTTCCAATGGAGTAGAAGGGAATTTGCAAGAGTATGTGTCTGTATTTCCTTAGATATGAAATTACCTTTTGGTGTTTGGGTGGAAGGTTTGGCTGGCAAATTCTTCCAAAGAATTGAGTATGAGGGAGTTTCCAAAATTTGCTTTGGATTTGGAAGAATAGGTCATACCTTAGTTGATTGTGCTGATTCAAAAATAGTTAAGGAAATTGCTCCAGAAGCTGCGGGTGTGGCCAAACTATCACAGGTTAAACCAATAGATTCTGTTGGTAAAAATTCTCCAGAGGTGAAAGCTGGATATGGTCCTTGGATTCAATTACAATATGGCAAAATAAGGCAAAAAGTGGCTGTAGAAAAGAGAGGCTTTTTCAATAAAGCTTCAGTTCTTATGAAGAAAGCTTATGTCCCTAAGCTCGGTCTTGGTTCTTCAAAGAGAGATGGTGATTTAGAAGGTGAAAATATGAAGCTTAAACTGGAATTTCTCAATTCCAATCTTGAAAATGTGGGAAAAGGAAACGAAAAAGAAATTGATGCAGCACAATCAATCGAAATCCTAGAAGATTTACTGGTGGAGGTAACTAATGCTGAACCTGCTATTACTGTTCTTAATAAATTTAATACATTATCCTGTCTAGATGAAACGAGTGCTGCTGAGATAGTGGAGGTGATTGGGGATGATTGTGCTGAAGAAGGTGAAATTGTTGGCTGTGATTTGGTTAGTATGGAAGCCTCAGGTTGTGATGATGGTGTGAACCTTGTAATGAGCCAGGTGATAGTAAAGGGGAATTCTCCCTTGAATGGTGTTGTGGTTGAAAATTTATCTTAAGGGAAAAAAAGTTGAGCTTCTTAAAGAGTTGAAGTCTCTTGGTTCAGGCAACATAATACCACATAATAGGAAGATGGATGGTGGTAAAGCTAAGAGGAATGGGGCCCTTCCCCCATTTTTAAACAATGACTTCATTGGCATTCTGGAATTGCAGAGGAGCCAAGAAAATGGAGGCTGCTCTATATCTAAAGGAGATTATTAAAGACAATTGTTGTTGGTGGGATTGCTAGAAACAAAGATTAGCTCCATGGAGAATATGCAGATTCTGAAGTTTTTGGGAAATAATTGGGAATCTTATTTGGTTCCTTCCAATGGACTTTCTGGAGGTTTGATGGTGTTATGGAGAAAGGATTTGGCCTCTTTCTCGGTTATTGAAGACTCTTCTCAAGTCATTATTGGGAAATTGGAAGTACTAAACAAAGGATGTTGGGTGGTGGCTACAGTTTATGGGAGTACTAATGCTCTTGACAGGAAACTCGTATGGGATTGCTTAGAGAGGCATTGCTCTGTTGATTTGCCTATGGTGGTGGGAGGAGATTTTAATTGTGTTCTTTCCGAAGAGGAGAAAAGAGGTGGGAAGAAATTCATCTTGTCTCAAGGCTCTAAAGACTTGAAGAATTTCATGATCAACAATGATTTGCATGAGGTTGGGTCTATTGGACCTAAATTCACTTGGTGCAATAATAAATCGGGAGGAGCTCAGATCTTAGAGAAATTGGACAGGTGTCTCATTAATTCTACTGCATTGAATTCTATTCATATAGCTCGTATGAAACACTTGTTTCGTATAGCTTTGCACCATTGTCCAATTCTTTTGGAAATTTTCAAGCCGGTTGGGTTCCACAATATAGAGATATTCGTTTTGAAGATGTTTGGGCATCTTACCATGGGGCAGCTGCTATTGTGGAAAAAAATTGGAAGAATAGTAGAGGAGGTGACCTGTCCACCTCTTTAAATTATAAGTTCAAGAGAACTTTAAGAGCTTTATTTTTCTGGAGTAAAGCCAAGTTCAAAAATCTTAACTTGTTGAGGGACACGTTGATGCAATCAAAAATTTGGAGAGGGACCCAAATTTTTTATCACAAAAAACACTATCTCTTTCTAAGAACAAAATAAAGACATAGAATAGACAAATAAATTAAAAAACAACAACTTTACTTCATAATATAAAAACTATTACAATTTAGACAAGACTTACAAACGACTCTTGCAAGACACTTACAATTTGGACGCTTCAAACTTTGACACAAACAAAATGACTCAAACAAAGACACCTAAAGTTGCGTTTCTTTGAGAAGAAAGATACAGATGACGTCGAAACTTGCGGAGAGAAGAAAGAGATTAGGAGCCGAGACGAAGGTTGGAAAGAGCTCGCAAGATTTCCAGAGGAGGTGGAAGAAGGGTACAAAGCTCTCAAGCTTTTCCAAGAAGAACCCGCAGGTTATGGCTTCCAAAAATCACATTTTATCAACTATTTTTTTTTACTTCATCATCTCATATTTATAGGCAAAGTAAAGGAATGCCAAAAGCCACCTTTATGAATGCACACATCATCCCAAGCATTAGTTTTCATAGGATTTCCAAAAGCCCTTTTGAAAACAGCCCCAAGCCTCTTCGGAAAAACAGCCCAGCATTCTGTTTCGGAAATCATAGGAAATCACGGCACCAAGGAGTCAAGTCTCGGTAAGCAAGCATCCCATTAAAGCTTTTTATTCACTGGAGCCAAAAATTCATGGAAAAAAGGCCCAGGCATGGAAATATCAGCCGGCTGGAATTTATAGCACTAAAAACAGTAACTTTCCATTTAATATTTTGCATTGAAATTCAGCCATCACTAAAGAGCAAGCCACGGATTTTCCAAGAGACAAAAGAAAGGGGAAGGGGAAGGGACAAGGAAATGAGAAAAGAAAGGGGAAAGAAGAAAAATCATTTTAAGAAATAATGAGCTAATTTTTTTACTAGACATTAATGAGCTAGAGGAGTTAAAAATCAAATATTAGGATTTGATTTGACCCCCCCCTTGCCTACATCACACGTTGAAGGAGGAGATTTTGGTAATTCAAATGGAAGAAGTTTATGGTATGATTTCTTTTGAGAGACGGCAGCTTCTCAGGCTTAAAATCAATGAACACTATATTACCTTTGCCCGGCTCAACACATGATGTAAGCAAAGAGCAAAAGCAAAATGGATGGAAGAGGGGGACTCTAATTCATCATTTTTTCATGCATTTGCGAATGCAAGGAGGAACTCTAATTGGATTAATCATATCAAAACTGATTCAGGTGGTGTAACAGAGGATATTGCTAAAATTCAAAAAGTTTTCTCAGAATTTTTTAAGATAAAATGGCGGCATAGAGAGTGTTTGCTGGAGGGGTGGCCGAAGCCTTCTGCAATAATTAATGAAGACGATCAGGGTTATTTGAATGCTAATTTCACTAGGGAGGAGTTGCAGGTGGTTGCAGAAAATGTTGGGAAAAACATTTCCCCCGGGTTGGATGGGATTACCTTTTCTTTTATAAAAGGCTTTTGGAAGATTATTCTGGAGGATGTATGGCAAGCCGTGAACCAATTTTTTTCATCAGGAGTAATGCATCAAGATGCTGTTGAATAGTTGGCCCTAAAATCCAGTGCCCTTTGGTTCCCTCAAATTTCCATCCTATTAGTCTATGTATGACTATTTATAAAATTATTGCCAAGATGCTGTTGAATAGATTGGAGAAGGTGATTCATAAGATCATATCGGCGAATCAACCAGCTTTCATTAGAGGCCATTCCTTGTCTGAGCATGTGCTGTTGGCCCAAGAAGTCTTCAACAAATTCCGGTATTCTAAAGCAAAAAAAAGTCTATTGGCTATCAAGATTGACATGGAGCAAGCATACAATAGCATGAGATGGAAAGCGCTAAGGCAAGTTCTTCTTCATGTTAACTTTCCTAGCAAGTTCTTGGAATTATTAATGCAATGTGTCTTAGATTCGAAGTATTGCATTTTGATTAATGGGAGGAAAACTAAGTGGATCAAAGATGAGTGGATTTAGGCAAGGGTGTCCCTTGTCTCCTTGTTTATTTTATGCTCTCAAATTTTTTCTGATGCTCTAAGTCTTAGTAGAAGTGGATTGGGGATTTCTATTACTCCTAATGCTCCTAGAATTTCTCATTTACTCTACGCCGATGATATCTTAATATTCTCGGAAGCAAATGTTAGGGAGGTGAAGGAGTTGAAGAACATTGTTATCAATTATTGCAATTGGTCGGGTCAAAATGTTAACCACTCCAAATCTATGATTTTATTTGGGAAGCACATTAACCAGAGGAGGAAGAATAAAATTACTAAGGTTCTTCGGTTCAAGGTGTTGAAAGAGCTTTGTTATCTTGGTGTTAAGATAACTTTAAGGAGGATGGTGGCTTCGGATTTCCATAAGCTTCTGGAGGTGGCTTTTAATAAGTTGAGCACTTGGGGGAAGAATTGCATTTCATTGGAAGGGAAGTTGGTACTAGTTAAATCTGCATTCCTTTCTCTACCATTGTTTTTGTCTTCCCTTTCATTAGTACCATTATCTATTCTCAAAGAATTTGACAAAATGTGTAGAAGCTTTTTATGGAATAAAAGTAGTGGAAATGTTGGAATGCATTATGTATCTTGGGAGCTATTGTGTAAACCAAAGAATGAAGGTGGCCGTGGACTGTTCTCAGCGGTTTCCAAGGATGGGCCTCTTTGGGCTAAGTTTGCTTGGGATTTCTTCATGAAGCCTAATTCTTTACTCAACCGGATTATTAGAGGCAAGTATGGAAGTGATTTATGGTCTATTCCGGTGAAAAATGGCTGTTCTCCTACATGGAAGATTATTACCAATAGGGCTTATTATCATAGAAACATTGTTAGATTGAAAGTCTCTAATGGTAATTCTATTAATTGGTTGCATGATTCTTGGATTTTAGATGAATGCATTTCAAAATGGCCTACATTTATTAATAATTTGGAACCAAGGGATTATAAGCTTAGCTACTTCATATTGGAGGGAGAGTGGAATGTGAATCAGCTGCAGAATTTCTTTGGGAAGCAACTATTGGATCTTATTCTACAGATTCCTATAGGAGCAGAGGGGACAACAGATCTAATTGAGCTGAAATCAAAGGCTGCAGAGAAATCAATTATTGCTTTGTCCCTAGAAGCACTGAATGATCATAATTCTGAAGTTTGTCACTGGAGATGGATGAAAAAGTTAAAAAATGAGACCAAGAGTAGAGCTCGTTTGGTGGAGACTTACAATGAAGCAATTCTTTCAAATGCTTTTCTAGTGAAGAGAAGATTATCCAATTTTTCAGGTTGTCCGAGAGGTTGTGATGAGGAGGAGGATAGCAGTCATATTGCTGGAAGATTTGTGAAATTTCAGAGGATTATTATCTTACTAAACAAATGGGGATTCAAAGTTCCGTTGTTTGAAGATCTTACAGCATGCTTGGACGGGTTGAAAGATGCTCGGGTTCTAATCCTTTAGCTGCAAATATTTATTGTACAGCTGCTTTCCTTGTTTGGAAAAACAGATGCAAGTTGGTTCATGAAGGAATTGAAAACTCGGATAATGTAATTGCAGCAAATACCGTTTCGATGGCCACGTTGAGCAATTTTATCAGCTTCTATCCGGACAACTACGACGTCAATCAGCACTTGATGTTTACCTCTTGGTGTCCTCCTCCACCCGGATGGATAAAGATAAGCATTGATGCTTCAGTAAAAAGCAATAACTTGGCAGGGATTGGAGGTGTGGTGAGGGATAATAAAGGTAGATTTTTGATAGCATTTGGAGCCCAATATTTGCATTGGGATATAGCTCAAATGGAATTGATGGCTGTTTACTACTTGAAAAGTATTATGCGGGATTGGATGTATGAAGCTCAAGGTGTGATTATAGAAGGAGAACTTCAACATCATTAAGACTCTTCAATTAGCTTTGAAGATATGGAAGAATAAGGGAAGAATTGAAGATGAACTAGCATTTTTACAAGACTTTTATCAAGTATTGTTTTCTTTTTCAAATAGAAGTTGTAACAAATTAGCGGATGTTTGTGCTAATTTGGCTTGTAAAAAGAGTTTTATTTGGGATGAGCTTAATAAGGTGGAGATTCCTCCTTCCTTCTTGTTCATCTTGAAGGAGGAATGTGATGGTTTAGGTATGGTTTGAGTAGTTTGTAATAAGTTTTTTATGATATTTTAATGCACGGTTGCATTTCTTTCAAAAAAAAAAAAATAAATAAATAAATCCTCATCTTGAACTTACGTAATTTTCTAATTTTGAGACTTACGCCTCAAAACGCCTTGAGGCTTATGCCTCGCCTCACAAAAGGAAAATGCCTCAAAACTCAATTGCACAATTTTAAACATTGCATATTGGTCAAAGCTAAGCAATCTAATTATCTCACACCCAGGGAAGATAAGAGGTATCTTAAGAACATATGAATGACATCCTATCCAAATCATCAAGATAGGTCGGACAGAAGGAAAATGCCATTGCTTAAAATACGCCATAGAACTGAACCAGATGCCTTAATCAAAATTTCTTTTACGTGATTTAGAGAAACAATTTACAAAGGAGGTTGAGCATATGGGCAGTCTTGAACTATGAATATGAATCCCCATAATGAGGGTGAAATTAGTAGATAATACTTAATCAGTTATTTTGCCTCTTGAAAATTTTATTTCCTAGTTCTCATGGTGGAGGGTTTCCTTTCAGAGCTTACAATATACGTAGGACCAACCATTTCTATGATCCACCCATTGGTGGGAGCCTTTTGTATCAAGTAATTCATCATGCTTCAAAAATCCCCGAAGTTAATGTAAGGCGTACTAGAAATGGTTGTTTGAGATATTTGGAATCCATTCAAAGAAGCTGAGGGGAGAAAACTAGATTCTTTAAGCTAAGGATGGTAGATGATATTTGGTAAGATCAAATTGATAAAGTCGCTTTCATTTGCCTTATCTACGAGTCTAACGATTGGCAGTATCAAAAAAATTGTCTTCATTTATAGGTGATATTGGCGAAGGCTTGATTGAAATGGTGATCTGATATTATTATTAGGAGTGAAGCGAAAAGGATGTTAGAGTCTAGTTTTTTCAATGTTGGTTATGGCATTCTTGTTTAGAGATGAGGTACAGGCATCATCATTCTTTGATCCAAGTTAATGTGATAAATTTTAACTCTCAAGTTTATTAATTTGAATATCTTAATTATATTAACTTGATCGTGTGCATTTGGATTTTAGGTTTGGTAGCCAAGAATGGCTACATGGGGCTTCAAGTAGTTTTGCTCCTTTGGTGATACATAGATACACGAAAAAATTAATGTTAGGAAAGTTATTCGTTGAAAATAGGGAGAGAAAAGCTATCAGCGTACTGGTTGCGCCATATTTATTATGGCAGGGAATTATGGTGATACTCACTGAATGTCCCATAAAGGTTTTTATTTATTTATTTATTTATTTATTTTTTTAATTCTCTTAGTGGATTATTTATGATGCCTGTACTTCTCATCTTCGGTTCGGCTTCCAGTTTGCTTGGACAATATTTTTCAGCCTTTTGTTTACAACAAATATGTAAAAAGCCATTCCTTCATTCATTCAATTAGAAAGAATGAGATCAAGCCGTAATGAGTTGCGGATTGGCATGTGCATATGAAAATACCTTCCTCTTTTAAAAAGAGTCATTATGGATGAGGAGCTTCAAAGATGTTGGATGTTTGCATCTGATACCCCACTCTTCGTGCATTTTTGCAACAGATAAAGCCTTTTGATTAATTTGAGAAAGTGGAAGGTGAGAAAAATATTGCTAATGAGATGTAGGGTGCTGTTGTTTTGGATTGATGTTTATTTCCTAATTTTGAGACTCTAGTCATTAAGGGATGTAATATGTAATATTTCAGATTGTGGTATAATCTTGTAAAACTTGGACATGATATGCATGTGAGAGAGAGAATGGTTGAATTAATGTGTATTTTATTGCGGATCTTACACCTCGATTTATAATATAGGATTCTATGTTACTCTTTGTAATTTTGTGTATGAAAACTACCAATTACATAATGATTATGATGGCGGACCGGCGGCTGAGCCGAAGGGCCCAATTAGGGTGGGTGGCAGCCAAGAAGAAAGAGGGGCTCAAAGGGCGTTAATTACTTACCATAGAAGACCAAAATTGGGAGGGAATTTTGAATTTTTATTTAGGGAAAATGGATTGATTTGATTGGAAGGGAATTACAAAGGTTTTTATGCTGCTAATTGATTATGAGGGTTTACAAAATTATGTTTATGTCAATTAGGAAGGTCCTAATTATTTAGGAATGTTTCTGAATTATGTTGATTAGAAATGTTCTATTTGTGTTATGATGTTGTAAGATTATTTAAGGGGGAGTTTGTCTAGGGTTTAGAGGATTCTATTGCTGAGTTTTATTTTCCTATTGTTTGTTGTAACTTTCTAGTGGTGCCTAGGGTTTGCGGGAGAGTTTATTTACCTCTTGAATAGTAGATCAATTGTATCTTGCTTTATTATTGAAGGAAAAAAGATCAGATCATCCCTATCTTTGTGTTCCTATACTTTTCTTCTCTTTTACTAGCTGTTTTCGCATCCACTTTCTATCAAATTGGTATCATAGCACTTTTTTGAGACATATGGTGGCAAAGAAACTTGATGCCTTGGAAGAGCGTCTTTAAGGAAAAGTTGGCCAACTCAACTCGGCGTTTGAGGAAAAAATGTTATCAATGGAGGAAAATTTTTTCAACGTAGGAAGGATGACGAATGTGTTGGATCTTCACGTCCAAGTGGTGACATCTGAGGCAATAGGTGGGGGTGTGGGCATAGGGGAGAGATTGCTCTTGTTGTAGTCGATATCGTTGAGGATGGATAGGAGGTCCCCAAAGGTGGTGAGGTTACCAAAGGCGGTCTCTAAGAAGCTATTGGACTTCCTCGGGAATTACTCCGACGGCATGTTAACAGAGTACATTGTGGTGCTTGTTTGTAATGGCAAGCATTAGAATCAAGCACGTGATGACCTACAGGCTAATTTTGGGGAGGAGAGTGGGACATTTGTAGCTTGGCTTTGGGTTTATATTTCCAAAGAACTCATTTCAAAGGCTACTCATGACCTCTCTGATCCAGAATCCAAAGTAACTACTAATCATAGTGGAAGTTTGGACAGGGAAAATAGAAGTAGAATTCTTGCAAATCACGTTGCTCAATCAGTTGGGCCACCAAAGACTAAGAACGGATTATTGGAACTGCCAAGTACAACTTCAGAATATTTAAGACCTCCCCAAGTGTAAGAGAGGCTCCCGCCTTCTCCCCCTCATTTAGATGAACGTTCAACTGCAGTAAATATGAAGAGGCTCAAGTCACAAGAGATTGCTCTTCAGATGAGTTTCAGTTCAAAGAGTGGTAATTTCACTGCAGCAGAAAAAAAATATTTCATCTTCAATTACGTGCTCTTATGAAGTTTCACCTGTTGGCAATCAATCTTTGCATTCTGAACTTCTACATAGGAAGATACCAAAAAATGGTTCCAGTACTGTGCCTTCTCATCGCCTGCCTGAACCAAAGGCAGAACAGATTGCAATATGTTTGCGATCTATCATTGCAGAAGAGCATCAATTGAGTCCATCCAGTAGAGATTTTGCTGAAACAAGGCCGCCTTAAACTACTATGATTTGTCGCATCAAATAGCCCGTTTACGTGGCAATGTTTGGGATAGATTAGGAAGGCCTAATGTAGAAGATCCACGAGCAATTCAAAGGGAAGTTTCTCATCATCTTGATTTAATTGAAAGTGGAAAGATAGACCATCGAGAAGAACCTCCAAATCCCAGGTTGACAAGGATTTCATCAGTAGCTAGCACAACTAGCAGCTTTTATAAACAATCATATGCAGTTGATAGAGGTGATGCAAAAGGCTTATCTGTTAAACTATCTGGTGGCTGTAGAAGTTCAGATAAAATGGTCGATGGAAGTACATTAAAAATGAAGAGGGAGATGGGTGAGCATAACACCCACAATGCCTCATCCTGCAAGGAGATTTATCTTCAAGTCAAAGGATATTATCAGCATCAACGACATTCAATTCCTGTCAAGAAGAATTGTCAATAAAGCATGAATAAATTTGCTAGAGTTGTTGAAGCTGATCCAAAGTTTTGTTTAATAAATCCTTCTTATACCGGGCAAGATTCCAAAGCCTATGCAATTTCTCAATCTCAAGTGAAGAAGAATTCAGTGACCTCACCTACGGAGAAACTAGTTTTAATCAACTCAATATTATTGATTACATTGATAGATGACATGGAGGTGATTTTGGAACTACTTCAAAGCGTGGAAATGGTGAATGAATGAGATTTTTGTTAAAGATGAATAGTTTGGAAGGTGAAGAAGAAGGGGAGAATATAGAAGCACTAGACATAGTTCAACCACTCTAATAGCAGTATTGAGAGGTGTTCCAGTCCGCTCAGAGGTTGCCTCCTCCGCGGGAACACAAGCATGCTATCATCTTGAAGGAAGTAATCTCACTTACAAGTTTTTTTCCGTACCATTATCCCCAAATTGAGAAGGTTGAGATCGAGAGTTTGATTAGAAAGATGCTAGAGGCAGGGATCATTCGACTTAATGCCAGTCCATTTTTCAGTCTAGTGCTTCAAAAGCAGTTTATTTTGTTTCACTTTGAGGACAATGTAGTTCTTTGAGAGGGGAGTATTGATGGATTGGTAGTTGAGCCAATGAGCTCCGCTAGGGTGGGCAACATCCAAGAAGGACTCAAAGGTGATTAATTGTAATAACCAGTTCGGTCCGGCGTTCAATCGAACTAGCCGAACCTATTATAAGCAGCGGACGGAACTGTTCGCGAAACAGAAGTAGTTCGCGAACAGAGAAGGGCAGACGGTCGAGGCTTCACGCGAGAGTAAG